GCTCTGTGTCTGAGTTATCACAATAACATGTCCACGGTACAGAGGGCTCTGTGTCTGAGTTACCAGCTCGTTCCTCTTTCTTGTCTTTCCTGCAGGAGCTGTTAGCAGTTGTTGTTGTTCATTCTGTAGAGCGACAGGATGGCATTCTCACACATGAAAGAACCAACATCGTGACAATCCAAAAATCAGAGGAACGAAAACGGCATCATACGTCTGGGAAGGGATGGGTCACCCGAGCAATAGAGAAATCATTCAGCTAAATGCCCTCTGCCTTCCAAGACTTTCCAGTGTCTGCTTTATAGTGTCACTCCATCACTTTCAGTATGGAGGGAAGGCAAATGTCCAGGACTGAGGGAGGACAAGAGGGCAAGTGGCACCCCAGAGTGAGACGTGCTGAGGAAATGGAGTTGGGGAACGACGGTGGCTCAGGCCAGCCTGGGAAAACCGGAGAAAGAGGGAAGGGATGGCTGAAGGGATTGGGAAAAGACGACGGAAGTGGGGGAAGGATTGGTACCAGCTGGGAAGGGAAGCGGAACAAGGTGGCAATGGGTCCCGGGGTCATAGTGAGGTCAGGGGTCAGAGGTCACTTGCAGACGTTGACCCACTCGGTGACGCGGCACTCCTCGCACATGACGTAGCAGCACCAGTGGAAGCGGCAGTGGCAGCGCTCGCTGCGCGTCTGCTTCAGGATGTTGTGGCCGCGGCCGCAGCACAGCGAGCTGCAGCTGTCCATGCCGCCGCTGCTCTTGTTGCAGATGCGTCCCTGCGTGCCCAGGGAGTCCAGCGCCGGCTCGCGCTCGCAGAAATCCGGCGACTTCTCGAAGTACACCAGCTCGCGGGAGACGCGCCGCCGGCCCCCCGCGCCCCGCGCCCACGGGTTGAACACCCCCGTGTTCTTGTTCTGCGAGTTGATGAAGACGGCCGAGTGGAACTTCTCGCGCAGCAGCGCCCCCACCAGGCGGAACTCGGGCGTGACGTACCAGCAGGTCTTGAACTGGCAGCTGCCCGACGTGCCGTGGCACTTGCACTTCCTCTTCATGTTGTCCGTGACGACCTGTGCGGCCAGGCGAGACAGAAGCGGGGAGCAGTGTCAGCACCCCTCCGCAGGGGACGACAGGCGCAGGGCTGGGTTATTACCGCAGGGGATACCACTCGCTCTGAGCAGCACAGTGACCCAGACCGCAGCCCAGTCCAGACACTCCTGGCCCATTGGCAGTAAGCCAGTCCATGAGCCTGCGTCACAGACTGCATGACTTACAAGCCAGTCCGCAGTCACTACACACTATACACTGTACTGCACACTACACACTATACTACACACAACACACTGTACTACACACTACACATTGTACTACACACTATACTATACAATACACACAATACACTATACTACACACTGTACTCTGTACTACACCACATACTATACACTATACTACTTCTATACTACTACTATACATTATACACTGGGCTCTGTACTATATTACACACTATACATTACACAATATACTCTGTACTATACTACACACTGCATACTATACACTATACTAACACTATGGTGTACATTATACTACATAGTGTGTACTTTGCTACACACTATACATTACACACTGGGCTCTGTACTATACTACACACTGCGTACTTTGTGCTTTCCTACTGTCCACTCTGCACCGCTCCGGTACAGCAGTGCCCCGAGCTCCTCAGGGCCACTCACCTGCCGGCCCACCCTGTTGTTGTGGATCTTCATGCGGGCGTGAATGTCGCGCGGAGACTCCCGCGAGTCCAGCCAGTCCCGGGAGAAGCGCTCGCCGAAGCGGGTGTCGTGGCTGCACCCCCCCCACTCCCAGGTGTCCTGCAGGGAGGGGGCGTCCTCCGGGAGCGGGCTGAGGAGAGCGGAGGGGTGCAGGGGCACGTGGGAGGCCGGCTGCGGCCCGCGCAGGCCCGGCGTCCTCTGCAGCGTCTGCAGCTGCAGCTGCGTCAGCTTGAGGCGGATCTTGTCGTCGTCCAGCCGCCGCTTGGCCTCGCACCCGCAGCCGCGCAGCTTCCCCAGGCTGCAGGCCGAGGCCACTGAGTGCGCCACGCCTGCCGCCAGCAGGGACAGGGTGAAGGCGCTCTCTCTGAAGCCTGCGACGCCGGGGGACACTCTGTGAGAAACATGCCTGTCTTGCTCTGCCCCCGTCTCTCTGGAGCTCTCTACTGCCCCCTGCTGTTCCCCTCGGCTGTTAGGTCAATCAGTACTGGAGGGGCTCGACATTCATGAGGGTTCAGTGCAGAGAACCGTCACCAATAATCACTTTCACATATGACCAAGTCCACCCCTATACAGTCACATAATGTGCTATGGTATATAGCCTTATATGGCAATTAAAGTACTAATGCATTGGCTTTAAGTTAATTAAAATAACATTGACTGAAACACATAACAGTGGTCACAGACTTAAAGTAATCAGCTAAAATAAACAACATGAATCCCTCCTCGGTGTGTAGTGGATGCCTGCCCTTTCTCTCTCTGCCTGTGTGATCAGCACGCCCCACTGTAATGAAACGGGCAATAAAACTGTGAGAGAGCCTGTTCGGTCATCTCCAGCCTGTCACACTGCTGACACAGAACCTGGAGGGTCAGCTGATTTAAATGGCGTCTCTAAACTGACCCCTGCATGCATGAGTGTGCATGTGTGTGCGTGTGCGCGTGTGTGACTGTGTGTGTGCACTAGGTGATGGAGCATGGTGCCTACTGCCTTGCGACCATTGCTGTCAGCCAGGTTAGCCTCTGGACACAACCCTGTCCAGGTCTAGGCAGATACTGAACACGGCTGGATGGCTGAATGGAGGAATGATGGAGGAATGGATGGACAGATAGATGGAGGAATGCAAGGATTAAAGGATGAATGGATGGATATATGGATGGAGGAATGGAAGGATGGAAGGATGAATGGATGGATGGAGGAATGAAAGGATGAAAGGATGAATGAATGTATGCATGGAGGAATGGAAGGATGAAAGGATGAAT